CTACAGAGTAAAAAGAAGGACGTTTTTCAGGATGAGAAATAAACTGAATGGAACTAAGCACAGTTGTTCCTGAGTGGCTGCGTTACAGTTTTTACTTGACAATCTATGGCAAGACCTGAAAATGGTTGTCTAGCAATGATAGCTTGAAGAATTTTAAAAGAATGATGGGCAAATATTGCACAATCCAGGTGTGGAAAGCTCTTAGAGACTTACCCAGAACGACTCACAGCTGTAATCGCTGCCAAAGGTGATTCATGTATTGACTTAGGGGGTTGAATACTTATCTAATCAAGATATTCGTTTTTTTATTTTTCATGAATTTTTACATACAGTACCAGTCAAAAGTTTGGACACACCTACTCATTCCAGGGTTTTTCTTAATAAAAAAAAAAAACGATTTTCTACATTGTAGAATAATAGTGAAGACATCAAAACAATGAAATAACACATATGGAATCATGTAGTAAGCAAAAAAGTGTTAAACAAATCAAAATATATATTCTTCAAAGTAGCCACCCTTTGCCTTAATGACAGCTTGGCATTCTCTCAACCAGCTTCACCTGGAATGCTTTTCCAACAGTCTCGAAAGAGTTCCCACATATGCTGAGCGCTTGTTGGCTGCTTTTCCTTCACTCTGCGGTCCAACTCATCCCAAACCATCTCAATTGGGTTGAGGTCGGGTGATTGTGGAGGCCAGGTCATCTGATGCAGCGTTCCATCAATCTCCTTGTTCAAATAGCCCTTACACAGCCTGGAGGTGTGTTGGGTCATTGTCCTGTTGAAAAACAAATGATAGTCCCACTAAGCGCAAACCAGATGGGATGGCGTATCGCTGCAGAATGCTGTGGTAGCCATGCTGGTTAAGTGTGCCTTGAATTCTAAATAAATCAGTGTCGCCAGCAAATCACCCCCACACCATCACACCTCCTCCATGCTTCACGGTGGGAACCACACATGCGGAGATCATCCGTTCACCTACTCTGCGTCTCACAAAGACAAAGTGGTTGGAACCAAAAATCTCCAATTTGGACTCCAGACCAAAGGACAGATTTCCACCGGTCTAATGTCCATTGCTTGTGTTTCTTGGCACAAGCAAGTCTCTTCTTATTATTGGTGTCCTTTAGTATTAGTTTCTATGCAGCAATCTGACCATGAAGGCCTGATTCACACGGTCTCCTCTGAACAGTTGATGATGAGATGTCTGTTACTTGAACTCTGTGAAGCATTTATTTGGGCTGCAATTTCTGAGGCTGGTAACTCTAATGAACTTATCCTCTGCAGCAGAGGTAACTCTAGGTCTTCCATTCCTGTGGCGGTCCTCATGAGAGCCAGTTTCATCATAGCGCTTGGTGGTTTTTGTGACTGCACATGAAGAAACTTTCAAAGTTCTTGACATTTTCCGGATTGACTTACCTTCATGTCTTAAAGTAATGATGGACTGTCATTTCTCTTTGCTTATTTGAGCTGTTCTTGCCATAATATGGACTTGGTCTTTTACCAAATAGGGCTATCTTCTGTATACCACCCATACCTTGTCACAACACAACTGATTGGCTCAAACTCATTAAGAAGAAGATAAATTCCACAAATTAACTTTTAACAAGGCAGACCTGTTAATTGAAATGCATTCTATGTGACTACCTCATGAAGCTGGTTGAAAGAATGTCAAGAGTGTGCAAAGCTGTCATCAAGGCAAAGGGTGGCTACTAATAGTTTGATTTAACACTTTTTTGATTATTACATGATTCCAAACTCTTGCCCGTTACTGTATGTTCAAAAAATGTTCCACTTTGACATTGCACCCTCTCTCTCACAAGCTGGAGGGAGATAACCATAACATGTAATGTAGCATTTAAAGTGACAGTAGCAGTGATACTGTGAGGGAGGGAAGCAGAGAGAGGGAGTCATAGCAGTGAGACTGTTAGGGAAACAGAGAGAGGGAGTCATAGCAGTGAGACTGTTAGGGAAGCAGAGAGACTGTTAGGGAGGGAAGCAGAGAGAGGGAGTCATAGCAGTGAGACTGTTAGGGAAGCAGAGAGAGGGAGTCATAGCAGTGAGACTGTTTTGGGGGGAAGCAGAGAGAGGGAGTCATAGCAGTGAGACTGTTAGGGAGGGAAGCAGAGAGGGAGTCATAGCAGTGAGACTGTTAGGGAGGGAAGCAGAGAGAGGGAGTCATAGCAGTGAGACTGTTAGGGAAGCAGAGAGAGGGAGTCATAGCAGTGAGACTGTTAGGGAAGCAGAGAGAGGGAGTCATATCAGTGAGACTGTTAGGGAGGGAAGCAGAGAGAGGGAGTCATAGCAGTGAGACTGTTAGGGAGGGAAGCAGAGAGAGGAAGTCATAGCAGTGAGACTGTTAGGGAGGGAAGCAGAGAGAGGGAGTAATAGCAGTGAGACTGTTAGGGAGGGAAGCAGAGAGAGGGAGTCATAGCAGTGAGACTGTTAGGGAGGGAAGTAGAGAGAGGGAGTCATAGCAGGGAGACTGTTAGGGAGGGAAGCAGAGAGAGGGAGTCATACCAGTGAGACTGTTAGGGAAGCTCAGAGAGGGCGTCATAGCAGTGAGACTGTTAGGGAAGCAGAGAGAGGGAGTCATAGCAGTGAGACTGTTAGGGAAGCAGAGAGAGGGAGACATACCAGTGAGACTGTTAGGGAGGGAAGCAGAGAGAGGGAGTCATAGCAGTGAGACTGTTAGGGAGGGAAGCAGAGAGAGGGAGTCATAGCAGTGAGACTGTTAGGGAGGGAAGCAGAGAGAGGGAGTCATAGCAGTGAGACTGTTAGGGAAGCAGAGAGAGGGAGTCATACCAGTGAGACTGTTAGGGAGGGAAGCAGAGAGAGGGAGTCATACCAGTGAGACTGTTAGGGAAGCAGAGAGAGGGAGTCATAGCAGCGAGACTGTTATGGGGGGAAGCAGAGAGAGGGAGTCATATCAGTGAGACTGTTAGGGAGGGAAGCAGAGAGAGGGAGTCATACCAGTGAGACTGTTATGGGGAGAAGCAGAGAGAGGGAGTCATAGCAGTGAGACTGTTAGGGAAGCAGAGAGAGGGAGTCATACCAGTGAGACTGTTAGGGAAGCAGAGAGAGGGAGTCATACCAGTGAGACTGTTAGGGAGGGAAGCAGAGAGAGGGAGTCATACCAGTGAGAATGTTAGGGAAGCAGAGAGAGGGAGTCATAGCAGTGAGACTGTTATGGGGGGAAGCAGAGAGAGGGAGTCATATCAGTGAGACTGTTAGGGAGGGAAGCAGAGAGAGGGAGTCATACCAGTGAGACTGTTAGGGAAGCAGAGAGAGGGAGTCATAGCAGTGAGACTGTTAGGGAGGGAAGCAGAGAGAGAGAGTCATAGCAGTGAGACTGTTAGGGAGGGAAGCAGAGAGAGGGAGTCATAGCAGTGAGACTGTTAGGGAGGGAAGCAGAGAGAGGGAGTCATAGCAGTGAGACTGTTAGGGAGGGAAGCAGAGAGAGGGAGTCATAGCAGTGAGACTGTTAGGGAGGGAAGCAGAGAGAGGGAGTCATACCAGTGAGACTGTTAGGGAGGGAAGCAGAGAGAGGGAGTCATACCAGTGAGACTGTTAGGGAAGCAGAGAGAGGGAGTCATAGCAGCGAGACTGTTATGGGGGGAAGCAGAGAGAGGGAGTCATATCAGTGAGACTGTTAGGGAGGGAAGCAGAGAGAGGGAGTCATACCAGTGAGACTGTTAGGGAAGCAGAGAGAGGGAGTCATATCAGTGAGACTGTTAGGGAGGGAAGCAGAGAGAGGGAGTCATACCAGTGAGACTGTTAGGGAAGCAGAGAGAGGGAGTCATAGCAGTGAGACTGTTAGGGAGGGAAGCAGAGAGAGGGAGTCATACCAGTGAGACTGTTAGGGAAGCAGAGAGAGGGAGTCATAGCAGTGAGACTGTTAGGGAGGGAAGCAGAGAGAGGGAGTCATATCAGTGAGACTGTTAGGGAAGCAGAGAGAGGGAGTCATAGCAGTGAGACTGTTAGGGAGGGAAGCAGAGAGAGGGAGTCATAGCAGTGAGACTGTTAGGGAGGGAAGCAGAGAGAGGGAGTCATAGCAGTGAGACTGTTAGGGAGGGAAGCAGAGAGAGGGAGTCATAGCAGTGAGACTGTTAGGGAGGGGGGGGGGAGCAGAGTGAGGTCATAACAAACTTGGTGATATGAGGAAAGCCGTTTCCTTGTCGGAGGATAATCCAACAGAACACAAATCTAAAAGGCCTTATAGTACCAAGCTCATGTTGTCTCTATCATGTTCTGAGAGCTTTGAGCTAGTCTCGTGTAGCTAGCACTCTGGACAAAAATCTCAGTATTTCATATTTTAGTATATCATTGCAAAAACAATAGTTCACTGGCTTCTATATATTTTATTTGGTGTGAAGTATCCTTTTTTTGTGAAATAAATGTTACGTTCTGTTTTTTTCATCATTAGAAATTAAGGGACGCAGCATAAATTAGTCAAAAAACCAACCGTCATATCCTGAAGCGAATGCCATGATGACATTTATGTCTGGTAAAAGAACAAGATCAGTCTAAGATATCGTTGCATGGCTTCAGAGAAACTTTAGTTGACAGACAAGCAGGTTGGTGGAGCTATTTAAACTGTCTGTCTGTTTGACACTAATTCACCGCATGAGTCCCCTCACAACCACAGGAATGAACAGAGACACACTCCTCCTTCATCTAGCCATGCTTCACTGCATGAAATGTTTCCCTACGACAGAGGGCGAGCACTACCTCCTTCCTCTGTTTATGTTGGACTCTGATATGATGCTGATGGAATCCATTTACTACACAAGCGAGGCAGTGTGGCGAGGCAGTAGCGAGGTTTTTATTACAATCTCATTTCCTTGCGGCTCTAAAACGTTTTAGTTATTATCGTAAAAAGTGATCAACAGCCAAACCCTTTTGGAACATTTCCTCTGTCTTCCACTCATCTGCTCATCCTGTTTGTTCCTTTTTCACAACTTCCTCAACTTAGTTTTTTTTTTAAACATTTATTCCTGGATAATATGGTGGTGTGGGACGTACTGTAAGTGATTTAGGGCCACAGCAACCTTTATCTGTGTGTTGGGTTGTAGTGGAGGCCGTGGGTTGGGTTGTCAAGCTGCCGGGGTGGGTGGGGGGGGGTGGGGGGTAGTAGAGGGCTGCTGCTGAGAACAGTCATTAATCACAGAGCAGACAACACATACAGCACACCGCCTGCTCTAGGACCTGCCGCTTGACACGTCTGATCTACACAGTTCAATTAGATTTCACATCAGGACGTCTCTCCTGCATGCTTACCCCTCAGCCAGACACTGTTCCCTACCCTGCCCTCACCAGCCGGCCTGGGTAGAGAGATGGAGGCAGACACTGTTAGTTTGCTGAAAAAGGCTTCTACGATAATTTATGTCAAGTAGCACCACCAATGGACAGGAGCAAATCAATCAATAGGCATTAACACTGTGGAGTGCTGATCAGACCCTTTTTAGATGGAAAACAGATCTCCTCTGGGGTTGTGAAGATTACAGGGGAATAATACGTCTTGTAAAAAGGTCTCTAACCGAAATGGCAAAACAATAAAAATATAATATTGTGTGTGGTAGTTATCTTTTTTTTTACGATGGAGATAACCGCTCTAATCACCATCCTGTCAGTTTCATTACTTACATTTAATGCAGTAGTGGTGAACTACTAACAAGAGAGAGAGTTGGGAAGAGATTTTTGACGTACCGATCCCATGGCATAGTGTTTATGAACTGATACGCAAAACGACGCCGGATTCAAAACTTAGAATTTTTCTATTTAAATTTGTATACAAAATTATTGCTACCAATAGAATGTTATTTATATGGGGGATACAATCTTCCCAGCTCTGCAGATTTTGCTGCGAAGAGACAGAATCATTAGATCATTTGTTTGGGTACTGTCCATTTGTAGCTTGTTTTTGGACACAGGTCCAGGAATGGCTAAAGGATTGTAATATTAACCTGGAGCTAACCTTGCAGATAGCACTACTGGGTGATCTGAAAAGTCATAGTCAATCGATCAATAATATAATAATACTTTTAGCAAAAATGTTTTTTCAATTTACAATCTGTAGAAACAATGAGAATAGAAAGGTTCAGAACTTTTGTGAAACATCACAGTACAGTTTAATAATATATGGAAAATAGAAATCCAATATGGATGGTGTTAAGAGATAGATGGGAGGTGTTGAATGGAGCTGAAGGATGGGACTAATAACTAACAACAACTAATAACAACAAGATAACTAATGTAAAGTATACTGTGTCCATAATAAGTATATAGGTTATAGGTTGAGAGCTTTTGTGAAAGAGCACAGTTAGAAAGATATGGCATATAGAAGCAAACCGGATGGATATCATGAAAATGATCGGAGAGGTTGAGGGTAGAGGAAGTTCAGGAGTAAAAACAAACAAAATATAATTATTGTAAAATTGCCTGTGTCCATAAAATGTATATAGTATGTATAAGCTGGAAGTAGAGGCCTAAGCATTGTTGTTCACTAGTTTACTCCAATTAGGGAAGGGGTGGTGGGGTTGGAAAGTAATAAAGGGAAATATATGTTTTAAAAGGATATGTGTATATATGTACACTACCGGTCAAATGTTTTAGAACACCTACTCATTTGAGGGTTTTTCTTTATTTTTACAATTTTCTACATTGTGGAATAATAGTGAAGCCATCAAAACTATGAAAAAACATATATGGAATCATGTAGTAACCAAAAAAGTGTTCAACAGATTCTTCAAATAGCCACCCTTTGCCTTGAGGACAGCTTTGCACACTCTTGGCATTCTCTCAACCAGCTTCACCTGGAATGCTTTTCCAAAACTCTTGAAGGGAGTTCCCACATATGCTGAGCACTTGTTGGCTGCTTTTCCTTCACTCGGTGTTCCGACTCATCCCAAACCATCTCAATTTGGTTGAGGTCGGGGGATTGTGGAGGCCAGGTCATCTGATGCAGCACTCCATCACTCTCCTTCTTGGTAAAATAGCCCATACACAGCCTGGAGGTGTGGCGCCGGAGAAGATGGCTGCCGTTTTACAGCCCTCTAACCAATTGCACTGTTGTGTGTTTTTTTCGCGTTATTTGTAATTTATTCTGTACGTAATGTTTCTGCCATCGTCTCTTATAACCAAATAGAGCTTCTGGATATCAGGACAGCGATTACTCACCTCGTATTGGACAGATATTTTTTTTCAACGAGTTGGACGTGAAGGATATCCTACTGACACCCGACAAGGCCCAAATCCCAGTCATTCGCAGGAGAAAGAGAAGGAGATATCGTGGACGTAGGTCGGGGTGCCTTGTTAGGATCAGACGGCGAGCGAGTAAACTGCCTCTTCCATCATCCTATTAGCCAATGTTCAATCATTTGAAAATAAATTAAATGACCTACGATTACGGTTATCCTACCAACGGGACATTAAAAACTGTAATATCTTATGTTTCTGAACGACGACATGGACAACATACAGCTGACGGGATATTCGCTACATCGGCAGGATAGAACGGCTGACTCCGGTAAGACAAGGGGTGGCAGTCTAAGTATATTTGTAAACAACAGCTGGTGCACAAAATCAAATACTAAGGATGTCTCGAGGTTTTGCTCGCCTGAGGTGTAGAGTATCTTATGATAAGCTGTAGACCACACTATTTACCAAGAGAGTTTTCATCTATATTTTTCATAGCTGTCTATTTACCACCACAAACCAATACTGGCATTAAGATTGCACTCAATGAGCTGCATAAGGCCATAAGTGAACAGGAAAACGCTCATCCAGAGGCAGCACTCCTAGTGGCCGGGGACTTTAATGCAGGGAAACTTTAATCCGTTCTACCTCATTTCTACCAGCATGTTAAATGTGCAACCAGAGGGAAAAAACTCTAGACAACCTTTACTCCACACACAGAGACGCATACAAAGCTCTCCCTCGCCCTCCATTTGGAAAATCTGACCATAACTCTATCCTCCTGATTCCTGCTTATAAGCAAAAACTAAAGCAGGAAGCACCAGTGACTCGGTTAATAAAAAAGTGGTCAGATGACGCAGATGCTAAGCTACAGGACTGTTTTGCTAGCACAGACTGGAACATGTTCCGGGATTCTTCAGATAGCATTGAGGAGTACACCACATCAGTCACTGGCTTCATCAATAAGTGCATCGATGACGTCGTCCCCACAGTGACCATACTTACATACCCCAACCAGAAGCCATGGATTACAGGCAACATCCGCACAGAGCTAAAGGGTAGAGCTGCCGCTTTCAAGGAGCGGGACTCTAACCCGGACGCTTATAAGAAATCCCGCTATGCCCTCCGACGAACCATCAAACAGGCAAAGAGTCAATACAGGACTAAGATTGAATTGTACTACACCGGCTCTGACGCTCGTCGGATGTGGCAGGGCTTGAAAACTATTATAGACTACAAAGGGAAGCACAGCCGCGAGCTGCCCAGTGACACAAGCCTAACAGACGAGCTAAACCATTTCTATGCTTGCTTCGAGGCAAGCAACACTGAAGCATGCATGAGAGCACCAGCTGTTCCGGGTGACTATGTGATCACGCTCTCTGTAGCCGATGTGAGTAAGACTTTTAAGCAGGTCAACATTCACAAGGCCGCAGGGCCAGATGGATTACCAGGACGTGTACTCCGAGCATGTGCTGACCAACTGGCAAGTGTCTTCACTGACATTTTCAACATATCCCTGACTGAGTCTGTAATATCAACATGTTTTAAGCAGACCACCATAGTCCCTGTGCCCAAGGATACTAAGATAACCTGCCTAAATGACTACCGACCCGTAGCACTGACGTCTGTAGCCATGAAGTGCTTTGAAAGGCTGGTCATGGCTCACATCAACGCCATTATTCCAGAAATCCCCCAACAGATCCACAGATGATGCAATTTCTATTGCACTTCACACTGCCCTTTCCCACCTGGACAAGAGGAACACCTACGTGAGAATGCTATTCATTGACGACAGCTCAGCGTTCAACACCATAGTGCCCTCAAAGCTCATCACTAAGCGATCACTAAGCTAAGGATCCTGGGACTAAACACCTCCCTCTGCAACTCGATCCTGGACTTCCTGACGGGCCACCCCCAGGTGGTAAGGGTAGGTAACAACACATCTGCCACGCTGATCCTCAACACGGGTGCCCCTCAGGGGTGCGTGCTCAGTCCCCTCCTGTACTCCCTGTTCACCCATGACTGCATGGCCAGGCACGACTCCAACACCATCATTAAGTTTGCAGACGACACAACAGTGGTAGGCCTGATCACCGACAACGATGAGACAGCCTATAGGGAGGAGGTCAGAGACCTAGCCGTGTGGTGCCAGGATAACAACCTCTCCCTCAACGTGACCAAGACAAAGGAGATGATTGTGGACAACAGGGAAAAAAAAGAGGACTGAGCACGTCCCCATTCTCATCGACGACGCTGTAGTGGAACAGGTTGAGAGCTTCAAGTTCCTTGGTGTCCACATCACCAACGAACTATCATGGTCCAAGCACACCAAGACAGTCATGAAGAGGGCACGACAAAGCCTATTCCCCCTCAGGAGACTGAAAAGATTTGGCATGGGTCCTCAGATCCTCAAAAGGTTCTACAGCTGCACCATCGAGAGGTATCCTGACTGGTTGCATCACCGCCTGGTATGGCAACTGCTCGGCCTCCGACCGCAAGGCACTACAGAGGGTAGTGCGTACGGCCCAGTACATCACTGGGGTCAAGCTTCCTGCCATCCAGGACCTCTATAACAGGCGGTGTCAGAGGAAGGCCCTCAAAATTGTCAAAGACTCCAGCCACCCTAGTCATAGACTGTTCTCTCTGCTACCGCACGGCAAGCGGTACCTGGAGCGCCAGGTCTAGGTCCAAAAGGCTTCTCAACAGCTTCTACCCCCAAGCCATAAGACTCCTGAACAGCTAATCATGGCTACCCGGACTATTTGCACTGCCCCCCCACCCCAACCCCATCTTTTTACGCTGCTGCTACTCTTATTTATGCATAGTCACTTTAACTCTACCCACATGTACATACAGTGAGGGGAAAAAGTATTTGATCCCCTGCTGATTTTGTACATTTGCCCACTGACAAAGAAATGATCAGTCTATAATTTTAATGGTAGGTTTATTTGAACAGTGAGAGACAGAATAACAACAAATAAATCCAGAAAAACGCATGTCAAAAATGTTATAAATTGATTTGCATTTTAATGAGGGAAATAACTGTTTGGCTCAAACGCATTAAGAACCAAAGAAATTCCACAAATTAACTTTTAACAAGGCAGACCTGTTAATTGAAATGCATTCCAGGTGACTACCTCATGAAGCTGGTTGAGAGAATTGTGCGCAAAGCTGTCATCAAGGCGAAGGGTGGCTATTTGAAGATTCTCAAATATAAAGTATATTTTGATTTGTTTAACACTTTTTTGGTTCCTACATGATTCCATATGTGTTATTTCATCGTTTTGATGTCTTCACTATTATTCTACAATGTAGAAAATAGTAAAAATAAAGAAAAACCTTTGAATGATTAGGTGCTCTAAAACTTTTGTTCAAAAGTTTGGGGTCACTTAGAAATGTCCTTGTTTTCGAAAGAAAAGCAATTTCTATTGAAATAACATCAAATTGATCATAAATACAGTGTAGACATTGTTAATGTTGTAAATGGCTATTGTAGCTGGAAACGGCTGATTTTTTTATTTGATTTTATTTCACCTTTATTTAACCAGGTAGGCCAGTTGAGAACAAGTTCTCATTTACAACTGCGACCAATATCTACATAGGCGTACAGAGGCCCATTATCAGCAACCATCAGTCCTGTGTTCCAATGGCACGTTGTGTTTGCTAATCCAAGTTTATAATTTTAAAAGGCTAATTGATCATGTTTTGCAGGTACTATTTAATGAAGCTGCCAGTTGAGGACCTGTGAGGCGCCTGTTTCTCAAACTAGACACTCTAATTAATTTATTTGTCCTCTATTTGTCCTCTTGCTCAGTTGTGCTCCGGGGCCTCCCACTCCTCTTTCTATTCTGGTTAGAGCCTGTTTGCGCTGTTCTGTGAAGGGAGTAGCACACAGCGTTGTACGAAATCTTCAGTTTCTTGGCAATTTCTCACATGGAATAGTCTTAATTTCTCAGAACAATAATAGACTGACGAGTTTCTGAAGAAAGGTTCTTTGTTTCTGGCCATTTTGAGCCTATAATCGAACCCACAATTGTTGATGCTCCAGATACTCAACTAGTCTCAAGAAGGCTGGTTTTATTGCTTCTTTAATCAGCACAACAGTTTTCAGCTGTGCTAACATAATTGCAAAAAGGTTTTCTAATGATCAATTAGCCTTTTAAAATGATCAAATTGGATTAGCAAACACAACGTGCCATTGGAACACAGGACTGATGGTTGCTGATAATGGGCCTCTGTACGCCTATGTAGATATTCCATAAAAAATCAGCCGTTTCCCGCTACAATAGCTATTTAGAACATTAACAATATCTACACTGTCTGTCTGATTAATTTTATGTTATTTTAATGGACAAAGAAATGGCTTTTCTTTCCAAAACAAGAAAATGTTTAAGTGACCCCAAACTTTTGAACGGTAGTTTATATTTTTGCGAGGGAAGAAAACATATGGGGGATTGGAAGTGATGCAGACAATTACATTGATGGAAGTTACAATTTATCTGCAATATTAATACTGATCTACCCCCCCCCCCCCCCCCCCCCCCCCCCCCCCCCCCCCCCCCCCAAACGAGAGCTGGGGTTCAGCGTGGGGGAGAGAGAGTTGGGGTTTCAGGGTGGGGGAGAGAGAGTTGGGGTTTCAGGGTGGGGGAGAGTGAGTTTGGGGTTTCAGGGTGGGGGAGAGTGAGTTGGGGTTTCAGGGTGGGGGAGAGAGAGTTGGGGTTTCAGGGTGGGGGAGAGAGAGTTGGGGTTTCAGGGTGGGGGAGAGAGAGTTTGGGGTTTCAGGGTGGGGGAGAGTGAGTTGGGGTTTCAGGGTGGGGGAGAGAGAGTTGGGGTTTCAGGGTGGGGGAGAGAGAGTTTGGGGTTTCAGGGTGGGGGAGAGAGAGTTGGGGTTTCAGGGTGGGGGAGAGAGAGTTGGGGTTTCAGGGTGGGGGAGAGAGAGTTGGGGTTTCAGGGTGGGGGAGAGAGAGTTGGGGTTTCAGGGTGGGGGAGAGAGAGTTGGGGTTTCAGGGTGGGGGAGAGAGAGTTGGGGTTTTCAGGGTGGGGGAGAGAGAGTTGGGGTTTCAGGGTGGGGGAGAGAGAGTTGGGGTTTCAGGGTGGGGGAGAGAGAGTTGGGGTTTCAGGGTGGGGGAGAGAGAGTTGGGGTTTCAGGGTGGGGGAGAGAAAGCTCAAGACTACAATCCCACAGGAAACTGTATAATGGCCCACTGCACCGGTCCGAGTATGTCGGAAATTTCACTCACGGAGCGTTGCACCGCGTCCTTTCCAACGCTCTGTTAAAAATCGCTCCTCGCTAACAGGGGGAAAAAACTGACGCTACAAATTCGCTACAAATTCGTTAAAATCACAATTTAACCAACACCCATCTATTTTTGTGACTACCTGGACCTACCATTTTGATTTTGGAAGTATTGAAACCAAACCATATGATTTGAATGAAAAGTATTGTAATGAACAACATGAAAAGGTTACTGTAAGAAGCGTTCACTTCTTCAAATAGGCTACATGTATTAAACAGCATATAAACACTCTAAATTGGTCAGAAGCCAGACAGGGAGCCTAAGAAAGAACAAAAATGAATCGGCGCTAATTTCCCAGGTAAGTTGACTGAGAACACATCATTAGCTTATTATTTCAAGGCTATAGCCTACAAATAAATAAATTGTGAAACATTTGCGACACACTAGGCTGGCAGGAACATTAAGGCTCAGCAATTAAACAACATTTTGTTGTATTACGTCATTATAGTCTATAAATTGCGGATATAGGCTGTGACTTACTTAGAATTGTAAAAAAAATATATATATGAAATAAAAAATGCCTTATTTGGCTCAGTGCCTTTTTGAATTCATTTTTAGAAACACGAGTTTGTCCAGAGTCTGTGGCTTCAGGCTCATGCGATGGTGCCTGGAGAGAAGGCCAACAGCAGAGAATACCCTCTCCGCACTTGCAGAGCCAATGGGGATGCTAAACACCCTTCGGGCCACTGTTGCTAGGCTGGGTAGGGATGTATGTTTTTTTTTTTTTTTCTACAGGTAGGCAGGCCTAAAGGTTTAGGCAAAATATTCCTATCAAAACGGAAAGCTCCTTGAAATAGGTAATATGCCAGGCCTATCGGGCTAAAATTGTACAGATAATAGAACGAAAATGAATGAAACTTTTAAGAGATCTTATTTTTTGTTTATAAATACTTTGCTACAATGACACACTTAGCTAGCTAACCACCTTGTTATTTTCTGGTAGCCTGTGCACGTACTACACATCATTCTTTCGGAATATGTCTTTTCAGATTCCACAATGATTCTTTAGTTGTGGACACTACATTTAAGTAATTTAGCAGACGCTCTTATCCAGAGCAACTTACAGTTAGTGAATACATTTTTTTTTTTTTTTATACTGGCCCCCCGTGGGAATCGAACCCACAACCCTGGCGTTGCAAACGCCATGCTCTATCAACTGAGCTACATCCCTGCCGGCCATTCCCTCCCCTACCCTGGACGACGCTGGGCCAATTGTGCGCCGCCCCATGGGTCTCCCGGTCGCGGCCGGCTGCGACAGAGCCTGGATTCGAACCAGGATCTCTAGTGGCACAGTTAGCACTGTGATGCAGTGCCTTAGACCACTGCGCCACTCGGGAGCTACATCACCGCACTCCCTCTCGTGCTCTTGGTCCTCATCATCTTTGTCACCTTGATTTAGCAGCTGTGTGTTTTTATCAGTTTCTTTATGACGATGTTTAGCGAACTCCATGACAGTAGCTAAAGCAAGGGGCTATTAGCAGCACACAAGTAGACTAGAAGTGCATGCTGGGCCGGGCCCTGAGCTGGTGAAGTGAGAGCTACTGGAGCGGTACTGGAGTGAAATTTAAGCGGACGAGAAGGCTGACGCTCCAGCTTTTCGGAAACTTGCTCTGCGCTCCAGACAAATTGAGCACGCTCCACTCACAGGTTCAGACCATGGTGTATTATCCACAGCAGGGATCATCCACTAGTTTCAGCCGCGGGCAGATTTTCTTTCGTGAGCAGATGGTCAGCGTGCCGGATCGTAAAATTTGGGGTTGCCAAATAAAATCACCAGTTGGGAAAACTTGATTTAGAGTGTGAGGCCGGAGCGCTAGTTAATGTGTGTCCAAGCAGCCTCCATCAGCCTTAGCGCTAGTTAATGTGACCAAGCAGCCTCCATCAGCCGGAGCGCTAGTTAATGTGTGTCCAAGCAGCCTCCATCAGCCTTAGCGCTAGTTAATGTGACCAAGCAGCCTCCATCAGCCGGAGCGCTAGTTAATGTGTGTCCAAGCAGCCTCCATTAGCCTTAGCGCTAGTTAATGTGTGTCCAAGCAGCCTCCATCAGCCTTAGCGCTAGTTAATGTGTGTCCAAGCAGCCTCCATCAGCCGGAGCGCTAGTTAATGTGTGTCCAAGCAGCCTCCATCAGCCTTAGCGCTAGTTAATGTGTGTCCAAGCAGCCTCCATCAGTCGGAGCGCTAGTTAATGTGTGTCCAAGCAGCCTCCATCAGCCTTAGCGCTAGTTAATGTGTGTCCAAGCAGCCTCCATCAGCCGGAGCGCTAGTTAATGTGACCAGGCAGCCTCCATCAGCCGAAGCGCTAGTTAATGTGTGTCCAAGCAGCCTCCATCAGCCGGAGCGCTAGTTAATGTGTGTCCAAGCAGCCTCCATCAGTCGGAGCGCTAGTTAATGTGTGTCCAAGCAGCCTCCATCAGCCTTAGCGCTAGTTAATGTGTGTCCAAGCAGCCTCCATCAGCCGGAGCGCTAGTTAATGTGACCAGGCAGCCTCCATCAGCCGAAGCGCTAGTTAATGTGTGTCCAAGCAGCCTCCATCAGCCTTAGCGCTAGTTAATGTGACCAGGCAGCCTTCATCAGCCGAAGAGCTAGTTAATGTGTGTCCAGGCAGCCTCCATCAGCCTTAGCGCTAGTTAATGTGACCAGGCAGCCTCCATCAGCCGGAGAGCTAGTTAATGTGTGTCCATGCAGCCTTCATCAGCCGGAGCGCTAGTTAATGTGTCCAAGCAGCCTCCATCAGCCGAAGCGCTAGTTAATGTGTGTCCAAGCAGCCTCCATCAGCAAAGAGCATGTGTTAATGTTTTGATTGACGTCTGGCCCTTTTGTGCAACGGGTTTATCCCTCTTTCACTCGCTCTCCGGCAGCGCTAACATCAACACACGCGTTCCACAGACACACACACTGAGAATAATACACACACAAACACAGCCCGGGCGCTGAATGTTTGATTAGAGTTCAATTGACTCCTCCAGCGGCAGGGCGAGGAACCATTTCACTCCCTATTTGTAGCAGCAAAGCTCTCCCTGACATGTTTCTTTTGTTCCCATTGAGCCGCCTGCCACCCAGGCAGCCTCGGCAGCACTGCTCCTAATAGCCCAGCATTCAGCCAGCCAGCCTTGCCTCGCCTCGCGCTCTCCCAGCCTCCCTGCTTAATCCTGGGTTGGACAGACAGACAGACGTTACCACAGCAGCAGCACAAACACATCTGGCTGCTAGCTAAACCTGGCATGGAGTCATGGTCTCAGTGACCTGGAGTCATGGTCTCAGTGACCTGGAGTCATGGTCTCAGTGACCTGGAGTCATGGTCTCAGTGACCTGGAGTCATGGTCTCAGTGACCTGGAGTCATGGTCTCAGTCCACTCCATGGCCTCTCCTCTAGTATGTGAAGCGCTGGCTGTTGTAGTTTATGCTAATATTGAATTATTTACATGGTTTGAAATCAAAAAGTTTCCCTTGCAATGGTTAACAACTTGGTGAAAAATATATATTTTACCAAGGATATTCTGGTGAATAAAATGTTTGTTCGGTTAACTGATTCATTTATGAAACTGATCTATCCCCTCTTTACTTGCTTAGTAATTAGTCTTCGGTTAACAACACAGGGAATTGGAGACTCCTTGTGAATGTTGGTCTGTGTTTTTTTCTTTCTACTGGTACCTACAGGTGAACATATCAGGTGGTCTCATTCTCCCATGTCTGCCTTGCAGGGTGAGTTGATAACATTCTACTATTACTGGAAGAAGACTCCTGAGGCAGCGTCGTCCCGAGCCCACCGTAGACACCGGCGCCAGCCTGTGTTCCGACGCATCAAGACGCGTACCGCCTCCACCCCCGTCAACATCCCATCTAGACCACCCTCCTCTGAGTTCTGTAAGTAGTGTCCTAACCCTAACCCGTACCGCCTCCAGCCCCGTCAACATCCCATCTAGACCACCCTCCTCAGAGTTCTGTAAGTAGTATCCTAACCCTAACCCGTACCGCCTCCACCCCCGTCAACATCCCATCTAGACCACCCTCCTCAGAGTTCTGTAAGTAGTATCCTAACCCTAACCCGTACCGCCTCCACCCCCGTCAACATCCCATCTAGACCACCCTTCTCAGAGTTCTGTAAGTAGTATCCTAACCCTAACCCGTACCGCCTCCACCCCCGTCAACATCCCATCTAGACCACCCTCCTCAGAGTTCTGTAAGCGGAAGAAGAAAAATACATTTGTTGTGGGATGGATCTGAATGAGTATTTTTGCTTACAACACAATTGATACAGTTTTGTATCACTGTGCTGGAGTGATCAACCTTTTGTAATAATAAACTGACTTGGAACAAATCGTTACTTACCACTGGTATTGTGACAGCGTTGTATTATTAAAGCTAGTTGGAGTTAGTTTTTTCCTAACAGTGCTTTTCGCAGGTAACTCGTTTTTTTTTTTTATTGAGAATGTGTGTTCTGCTCTCCTCCAGTGGACCTAAGCTCAGCCAGTGAAGATGACTTCGACAGCGAAGACAGTGAGCAGGAACTGAAGGGTTACGCCTGCCGACACTGTTTCACCACCAGTAAGTACCATTCTCTCTGTTATATACACACACACACACACCATCACAGCGACCTGGCGTGACAGTCCTCATGGAATGTGATCAGTTTAAGTCCCACCTGTCTGGTTACATCAACTTAGAGCTGGCATCCTCTCTGCCCAGCTGTCAATCTCTCCACCTTTGTTATAGCCCGCAGCTCGTTATCGCTGGCCTCCCCTAGCACAGCTGCGTCTCCCTTCCCTGCCAACCTCTGTCCGATGCTTAACGTCACCTGCCACTACCTCTGGTCTGTCTGTCTATGACAGTGGAACTGGTTTTGTTCTGCCCAGCCACTGTCAGTATATCGGTTCGTCTTATGTCACTAGTAGTTGGCCTCTCGTGATTCAATAGGATTTAATGAGAACATGTCTTCTCTCATTGTTGCTCGTCTGTACATCAATAGAGTTATGACTGCGTGTCACTTTTTATAAAAGCATCTGCTAAATGCCATATATATTATTAATATTATATATTAGTTATATTAGACACAAATCAGAATTAAGGATTGTTTGCTGATAGACTGAGCATCTACAGGCTTTCTGTAGGGGACTATCCATATTAAAGCAAGATCCTGTCTGTGACTGAGAGCTGTGTCTCACCACTAAATGACTTGTCTCTCTCATTAGACTAAATGTCTACTGAGAAAATCTGTTGGAGACTACATCCTGTCTAGTGATGTGTATGAGTCCTCTATCTCCCTGTCTAGGGATGTGTATGAGTCCTCTATCTCCCTGTCTAGTGATGTGTATGAGTCCTCTATCTCCCTGTCTAGTGATGTGTATGAGTCCTCTATCTCCCTGTCTAGTGATGTGTATGAGTCCTCTATCTCCCTGTCTAGTGATGTGTATGAGTCCTCTATCTCTCCTGTCTAGCGATGTGTATGAGGTCCTCTATCTCCCTGTCTAGTGATGTGTATGAGTCCTCTATCTCCCTGTCTAGTGATGGTGTATGAGTCCTCTATCTCCCTGTCTAGTGATGTGTATGAGTCCTCTCTATCTCCCTGTCTAGTGATGTGTATGAGTCCTCTATCTCCCTGTCTAGTGATGTGTATGAGTCCTCTATCTCCCTGTCTAGTGATGTGTATGAGTCCTCTATCTCCCTGTCTAGTGATGTGTATGAGTCCTCTATCTCCCTGTCTAGTGATGTGTATGAGTCCTCTATCTCCCTGTCTAGTGATGTGTATGAGTCCTATATCTCCCTGTCTAGTGATGTGTATGAGTCCTCTATCTCCCTGTCTAGTGATGTGTATGAGTCCTATATCTCCCTGTCTAGTGATGTGTATGAGTCCTCTATCTCCCTGTCTAGTGATGTGTATGAGTCCTCTATCTCCCTGTCTAGCGATGTGTATGAGTCCTCTATCTCCCTGTCTAGCGATGTGTATGAGTCCTCTATCTCCCTGTCTAGCGATGTGTATAAGTCCTCTATCTCCCTGTCTAGTGATGTGTATGAGTCCTCTATCTCCCTGTCTAGTGATGTGTATGAGTCCTCTATCTCCCTGTCTAGTGATGTGTATGAGTCCTCTATCTCCCTGTCTAGGTTGTGGATGAGTCCTCTATCTCCCTGTCTAGCGATGTGTATGAGTCCTCTATCTCCCTGTCTAGCGATGTGTATGAGTCCTCTATCTCCCTGTCTAGCGATGTGTATAAGTCCTCTATCTCCCTGTCTCTGCCGTCTCTCTCTCAGCCTCTAAGGACTGGCACCACGGTGGCAGAGAGAACATCTTGTTGTGTACAGACTGTCGTATCCACTTTAAGAAGTACGGCGAGCTGCCCCCCATCGAGAAGCCAGTGGACCCGCCCCCGTTTATGTTCAAACCTGTGAAAGAGGATGAGGATGGACTCAGCGGGAAGCATAGCATGAAGACCAGACGCAACAGAGGATCGGTACGACTCTCTCTCTCTCTCTCTGTCTGTCCTCTCTCTCTCTCTCTCTGTCTGTACTCTCTCTCTCTCGTCTCTCTCTTCTTCTCTTCTCGCTCTTTCTCTTCTCCTCTCTCTCCTCTAGGCTCATTCTCTCTCTCTCTCTCTCTCTCCTTCTCTTCTTTCTTGGTGTCTCTGTCTCCTTCTTTCTCTTTCTCTGTCTTTCTTTGTCTATAACCACGTTTCCATCCAGTTTTTATGGGAGGAAAGTCATACTGTATAAAAAAAATCACAACAGCTGTGATGGAAACAGGAAGTCTCGGTAAAATGTTATAAATGCCGACAGATAATTTGATTGGTCGACATGGTGGGATCTTTTTGTGTCGGTAAAATGTATAATGCGTGAAATGGCGGTGGAAACGCCTTTATGCGCAAATATTGATATAATAACCATCATATCGAAGTAAACTTGGAGTCACGCGATATGTTGTGTGGTCCTCCCACTACGACTCGTCTCGATAGCAAACAGTTTTATTAGGCTACAGATGAAATAACTTATGATAAACTTCACAGGGTGGTGAAAGGGCAGTGATTTTGATGCTCCTTTCTAATAAATATCGACAGTCTTATTCTGGTGACATGATGATCGATGCTTGACTGCCGTTTGACAAAATGCATATATTCTTGCTCTTATCCATAACAATCTCATCATGTAGACTAGCCTGCCCTCACAGCCTGCCCTCACAGCCTGCCCTCACAGCCTGCCCTCACAGCCTGCCCTCACAGCCTGCCCTCACAGCCTACCCTCACAGCCTGCCCTCACAGCCTGCCCTCACAGCCTACCCTCACAGCCTACCCTCACAGCCTGCCCTCACAGCCTGCCCTCACAGCCTGCCCTCACAGCCTGCCCTCACAGCCTGCCCTCACAGCCTACCCTCACAGCCTACCAGCTGTTGTCAGAGCGCACGTGCAGGCACATTTGCTATTTAACGGAACAGTTTTGGTGACAAAACTATCGGTAAAGTTGAAAATGCGATGGAAACTTTTGATTTTTATTCGGTACATGAAAACTGAAGAGATTAAAGCATGAGAAAAAAAAAAAGTTACATTGTGTGCACTATGTCATCACTGATTTGTATCTGCAAAAAGTCAATTTGGTGGAAACACCACTGGTGGGAATATTTGCATATTTTCTTTATGCGGGTTTTAAAATATGTCGCCAGTTGAATGCAAACCTAGCTTATCTCCGTCTCCGTCTCCGTCTCCGTCTCCGTCTGTGTAGATGTCGACGCTCCGTAGTGGCCGTAAGAAGCAGACAGCCAGCCCTGATGGTCGAGCGTCTCCAACCAATGAGGACCTCCGGTCTAGTGGCCGTACCTCCCCCTCCACAGACAGCACTGACAGCAAGACAGACCCCATGAAGAAACCCAGCAAGGTAGAGTACACACACACCACACACACACACACACACACACAACACACCACACACAGACACATACATACACAAAAACACCACACACACACACAGACACAAACACACACATACACACACACACACACACACACACACAAAGACACACAACAGACACCCACACACACACCACACACACACACACACACACACACACCACAAGACACTACACATACACACCACACCACACACCACACACAGACACACACACCACATACACACACACACACACACACACACACAGACACACCACAGACACACACACACACACAGAACACACACACACAGACACCACACACACACACACCCACACAACATAGACACACACACACACACACACACACAGACACACACACACACAGACACACACACAGACACACACAGACACACACAGACACACACACACACAGAGGCTGCGTTTACACATAAATAACAATTTGGTTATTTTTTCCACTGATTGATCTTTTGACCGATCACATCAGATCTTTTTCAGAGCTTATTTGATTGATCACACACAGGATCACACAAAGGATCACTCACAGGCTTGCTCATGAGTGTTTAAGTCTTTAAGTCCTAAGCCACTCCCTCTCATTAGACTCTCTACCAGGTGAATATGTACGAAAGCCTGATTGGAAATGACAGTAATAGTTTGATATGATTGATGGATGTATTGATTGATTGATTTTCATCAGAAGATCAAGGAGGAGTCTCCAATGAAGTGTGCCAAACGCCAGAGAGAGAAGGGCGGAGCCTCAGACAACGAGGACACAGACAACAGGACAATCGCCAAAAAGTCCAAGACCCAGGTGACTTAGCGACCACGGCTCATACCAGAGTTTCTGTTGGGTAGCTAGTGTTGTGGGTTGAGGAATAGTATCTGTATGGAAATGACAAAGCCTCAGTGTAGGAGTACTGATCCAGGATCAGTTTAGCCTTTTAGATCATAATTAATAAGACCGGTCCTAGATCTGTTATTATAGTGGTAATACCAAGCCTTTTGTGTAATAATTAGCCCCCAAGTGTAATGAGATTTGTATACCACAACCATTGCGGTATGGAATTCACGCCTCTCTTCTCTCTTCCATTCTCTGTTCCACAGGAGCTGGGTCGGTCCGACTCGCCGTCGGAGGGCGAGGGCGAGGGCGAGAGCTCCGACGGGCGTAGCGTCAACGAGGAGTGTAGCAGTGACGCTAAAGACATTGACCAGGACAACCGCAGCTCCTCGCCGTCCATCCCCAGCCCCCGAGACGGGGAGAGCGACTCGGACTCCTCCGCCCAGCAACAGCTGCTCCTACTGCAGAGACGGGAGAGGGAGAGGGAGGGACAGGGACACCACCCTCCGGTTATCCAGCCCTGTCAGCCAGGGACCTCCAGTGTTCGCTCCACCACCCCTCCTTTACCTCCGACATCCTCCTCAGCCCCCTCACTGGTCCCCCAGGTCTCCTCTCCCTCCTCAGCCTCCTCACTGGTCCCCCAGGTCTCCCTCCCTCCGCAGCCCCCTCACTGGTCCCCCAGGTCTCCTCTCCCTCCGCAGCCTCCACTTCTCTTCCACTGCCTCTACCGCCTCCCATGCCCCAACAGGCCGGCCCCCTCTCTCTCATCCAATCAGGGGTGTCCCTCCACCCCCAGAGGCGGCCCTCCCCCTCGCCTCATTCGCCGCTGCAGGGGATTTCTCAGGCTCCACCCCCAGGACTGCCAGGCTCCACCCAGTCGCTACCGAACGCACTCCACGGCCCTCTCCCCCACCCATCATCCATGCCCCACCCACTTCAGGCTGGCCCCTCCCACCTGCCCCACCCCCACTCCTTGCCCCCTCAAGGCTTCCCATTGGGCCCCCAGTCTCAGGTCCCGCCCTCCCCACAGCCTCTCGGCCAATTGCAGCAGCCGCCCCACAGGGCCCACACGCCCCCCAGCCAATCGTCAACCCAGGGTGGATCGTCCAATCAGCCGCCCCGCGAGCAGCTCCTACCCCTCGCCCCCTCCATGTCGATGTCTCACATCAAGCCCCCTCCCACCACCCCCATCCCCCACATGCCCAACCGTGACCCCCAGTCCCACAAACACCTCTCGGCACCCCCCTTCCCCCAGATGCCCTCCAACCTGCCCCCTCCGCCCGCCCTCAAGCCCCTCTCCTCCCTGTCCACCCACCACCCTCCCCCTGCCCACCCTCCTCCCCTCCAGCTCATGCCCCAGGGCCCAGGCCAGCAGCTCCAGCCTCCATCGGCCCAGCCCCCTGTCCTCACCCAGTCCCAGAACCTCCCCCCTTCAGAGAGAGAGAGAGGCACCCAGCACCACCCTCCTCCCCCTCCTCCTCCGCTACCCATCTCCGGACCATCACCATCTTCCCACTCCAACACACCCCAACAGCCCCCGTTCCCTCCTCACCCCTTCGCTCCCATCCTGCCCCTCTCCTCCGCTGGCTGCCCTCCCCCCTCCTCCTCTCTACCTCCAGGCCTCCAGCCTCCTTCCTCTTCCTCCTCCTCCTCCTTCTCCATGCCCCTCACAGCCTCTGTTGGCTCCGCCTGCCCAGGTCCCGCCCTCCCGCCAGTACACATCAAGGAGGAACCTCTCGACGAATCAGAGGAGCCCGAGAGCCCTCCACCCCCTCCGCGGAGCCCCTCCCCCGAGCCTACCATCGTCAACACACCCAGCCATGCCAGCCAATCAGCACGGTATGACCTGACACACACACACACAGTCAGAACACACACACACACAGTCAGAACACACACACAGTCAGAACACACACACACACAGTCAGAACACACACACACACAGTCAGAACACACACACACACACACAGTCAGAACACACACACACACTGTCAGAACACACACAATTGGCTATTTTAATGTGAGTACCTGTTGTGCTTCAGTGGCTCTCAAACCACCAATGAATAGTAATGAGTCTGTTAATACAGGTAGAGATAAGCTGTTATACAGGTAAAGGGGAATACAGGTAGAGAGAAGCTGTTAAACAGGTAGAGAGAAGCTGTTAATACAGGTAGAGAGTTTGTTAATACAGGTAGAGGGAAGCTGTTAATACAGGTAGAGGGAAGCTGTTAATACAGGTAGAGATGAATACAGGTTGAGAGAAGCTGTTAATACAGGTAGAGAGAAGCTGTTAATACTGGTAGAGAGGGATAGAGGTTGAGAGAAGCTGTTAATACAGGTAGAGAGGAATACAGGTAGAGAAGCTGTTAATACAGGTAGAGAGAGTTTGTTAATACAGGTAGAGAGAAGCTGTTTATACAGGTAGAGAGAAGCTGTTTATACAGGTAGAGAGAAGCTGTTAAAATAGGTAGAGATGAATACAGGTAGAGAGAAGCTGTTAAACAGGTAGAGAGGAATACAGGTAGAGAGAAGCTGTTAATACAGGTAGAGAGAAGCTGTTAAAACAGGTACAGGGGGATACAGGTAGAGAAGCTGTTAATAGAGGTAGAGAGAAGCTGTTAATACAGGTAGAGAGAAGCTGTTAAAATAGGTAGAGAGGAATACAGGTAGAGAGAAGCTGTTAAACAGGTAGAGAGGAATACAGGTAGAGAGAAGATGTTAATACAGGTAGAGAGAAGCTGTTAAAACAGGTACAGGGGGATACAGGTAGAGAAGCTGTTAATAGAGGTAGAGAGAAGCTGGGAATACAGGTAGAGAGAAGCTGTTAATATAGGTAGAAAGAAGCTGTTAATATAGGTAGAGAGAAGCTGTTAATACAGGTAGAGAGGAATACAGGTAGAGAGAAGCTGTTAATACAGGTAGAGAAGCTGTTAATACATGTAGAGAGAAGCTGTTAATACAGGTAGAGTGGAATACAGGTAGAGAGAAGCTGTTAATACAGGTAGAGAGAAGCTATTAATACAGGTAGAGAAGCTGTTAATACAGGTAGAGAAGCTGTTAATAATGCAGAGAGTTTGTTAATACAGGTTGAGAGAAGCTGTTAATACAGGTAGAGAGAAGCTGTTAATACAGGTAGAGAGAAGCTGTTAATACAGGTAGAGAGCAGCTGTTAATACAGGTAGGGGGGTATACAGAGAGAGAATATGTTAATACAGGTAGGGAGGAACATGGGTAGAGAAGCTGTTAATACAGGTAGAGAGAAGCTGTTAATACAGGTAGAGAGAAGCTGTTAATACAGGTACAGAGAAGCTGTTAATACCGGTAGAGGAATACAGGTAGAGGAATACAGGTAGAGAGGAATACAGGTAGAGAGAAGCTGTTAATACAGGTAGAGAGAAGCTGTTAATACAGGTAGAGAGAAGCTGTTAATAGAGGTAGAGCGGAATACAGGTAGAGGAATACAGGTAGAGAGGAATACAGGTAGAGAGGAATACATGTAGAGAGAAGCTGGTAATAGAGGTAGAGAGAAACTGTTAATACAGGTAGAGAGAAGCTGTTAGGGGTAGAGAGGAATACAGGTAGAGAAGCTGTTAATACAGGTAGAGAAGCTGTTAATACATGTAGAGAGAGTTTGTTAATACAGGTAGAGAAGCTGTTAATACAGGTAGAGAGAAGCTGTTAATATAGGTAGAGAGAAGCTGTTAATACAGGTAGAGAGAATATGTTAATACAGGTAGGGAGAAACATGGGTAGAGAGAAGCTGTTAATACAGGTAGAGAGAAGCTGTTAATACAGGTAGAGGGGTATACAGGTAGAGAGAAGCTGTTAATACAGGTAGAGGAATACAGGTAGAGGAATACAGGTAGAGAGAAGCTGTTAATAGAGGTAGAGAGAAGCTGTTAATAGAGGTAGAGAGAAGCTGTTAGGGGTAGAGAGAAGCCATTAGGGGTAAAGAGAAGCTGTTAGGGGTAGAGTGAAGCTGTTAGGGGTAGAGAGGAATACAGGTAGAGAAGCTGTTAATAGAGGTAGAGAGAAGCTGTTAATAGAGGTAGAGAGAAGCTGTTAGGGGTAGAGAGAAGCCATTAGGGGTAAAGAGAAGCTGTTAGGGGTAGAGTGAAGCTGTTAGGGGTAGAGAGGAATACAGGTAGAGAAGCTGTTAATAGAGGTAGAGAGAAGCTGTTAATAGAGGTAGAGAGAAGCTGTTAAGAGGTAGAGAGAAGCTGTTAAGAGGTAGAGAGAAGCTGTTAATAGAGGTAGAGAGAAGCTGTTAATAGAGGTAGAGAGGAATACAGGTAGAGAGGAATACAGGTAGAGAGAAGCTGGTAATAGAGGTAGAGAGAAACTGTTAATACAGGTAGAGAGAAGCTGTTAGGGGTAGAGAGAAGCCATTAGGGGTAAAGAGAAGCTGTTAGGGGTAGAGAGGAATACAGGTAGAGAAGCTGTTAATAGAGGTAGAGAGAAGCTGTTAATAGAGGTAGAGAGAAGCTGTTAATAGAGGTAGAGAGAAGCTGTTAGAGGTAGAGAGGAATACAGGTAGAGAGGAATACAGGTAGAGAGAAGCTGGTAATAGAGGTAGAGAGAAACTGTTAATACAGGTAGAGAGAAGCTGTTAGGGGTAGAGAGAAGCCATTAGGGGTAAAGAGAAGCTGTTAGGGGTAGAGTGAAGCTGTTAATACAGATAGAGAGGAATACAGTTAGAGAAGCTGTTAATACAGGTAGAGAGAATCTGTAAATACTGGTAGAGAGAATCTGTAAATACAGGTAGAGAATCTGTTAATACAGGTAGAGAGAAGCTGTTAATACAGGTAGAGTGGAATACAGGTAGAGAAGCTCTTAATACAGGTAGAGAGAATATGTTAATACAGGTGGAGAAGCTGTTAATACAGGTGGAGAAGCTGTTAATACAGGTGGAGAAGCTGTTAATACAGGTAGAGATAATCTGTTAATACAGGTAGAGAAGCTGTTAATACAGCTAGAGAGAATATGTTAATACAGGTAGAGAAGCAGTTAATACATGTAGATAGAGTTTGTTAATACAGCGAGAGAAGCTGTTAATACAGGTAGAGAGAAGCTGTTAATACAGGTAGAGAGAAGCTGTTAATACAGGTAGAGAGAAGCTGTTAATACAGGTAGAGAGAAGCTGTTAATACAGGTAGAGAGGAATACAGGTAGAGTGAATCTGTTAATACAGGTAGAGAGAATATGTTAATACAGGTAGAGAGAATCTGTTAATACAGGTAGACAGAATCTCCTCAGAACAGTGATGAGTGGTTAGACTAGATGTTGTTTCCTGTTGAATAATCAGCTAACATGTCAAAGGCTATTTGTTTCTCATCAGATACATCACTATACTGAACAAAAATAAATGCAACATGCAACAAGTTACAGTTCATAGAAGGAAATCAGTTAATTGAAATGAATTCATTAGGCCCTAATCTGTGGATTTCACATGATTTGGCAGGGGCGCAGCCATGAGTGGGCCTGGGAGGGCATAGGCCCACCCACTTGGGCGCCAGGTCCACCCACTGCCGAGCCAGGCCCAGCCAATCAGAATTCGTTTTTTCCTACAAAAGGGCTTTATTACAGACAGAAATACACTACATGACCAAAAGTATGTCGACACCCGCTCGTCGAACATCTCATTCCAAAATCATGGGCATTAATATGGAGTTGGTCCCCCCTTTGCTGCTATAACAGCCTCCACTCTTCTGGGAAGGCTTTCCACTAGATGTTGGAACATTGCTGCCGGGACTTGCTTCCATTCAGCCACGAGCATTAGTGAGGTCGGGCACTGATGTTGGGCGATTAGGCCTGGCTCGCAGTCGGCGTTCCAATTCATCCCAAATGTGTTCGATGGGGTTGATGTCAGGGCTCTGTGCAGGCCAGTCAAGTTCTTCCACACCGATCTCAACAAACCATTTCTGTATGGACCTCTTTGTGCACGGGTACATTGTCTTGCTGAAACAGGAAAGGGCCTTCCCAAAAATGTTGCCGCAAAGTTGGAAGCACAGAATCGTCTAGAATGTAATTGAATGCTGTATCGTTAAGATTTCCCTTCACTGGAACTAAGGGGCCTAGCCTGAACCATGAAAAACAGCCCCTGACCATTATTCGTCCTCCACCAAACTTTACAGTCGGCACTATGCATTTGGGCAGGTAGCCTTCTCCTGGCATTCACCAAACCCAGATTCATCCATTGGACTGCCAGATGGTGAAGTGTGATTCATCACTCCGGAGAATGCGTTTCCACTGCGCCAAAGTCCAATGGCGGCAAGCTTTACACCTCTCCAGCCGACGCTTGGCATTGCACATTGTGAACTTAGGCTTGCGTGCGGCTGCTCGGCCATTCAAATCTATTTCATGAAGCTCCCGACGACCAGCTCTTGCAACCGAGGACAGACGATTTTTACGCGCTTCAACACTTCGCTGTCCCGTTCTGTGAGCTTGTGTGGCCTACCACTTCGCGGCTGAGCCGTTGTTGAGCCTAGACGTTTCCACTTCACAATAACAGCACTTACAGTTGACCGGGGCAGCTCTAGCAGGGCAGAACTTTGACGAATTGACTAGTTGGAAAGGTGGCATCCTATGACGGTTCCACGTTGAAAATCACTGAGCTCTTCAGTAAGGTCGTTCTACTGCCAATGTTTGTCTATGGAGATTACATGGCTGTGTGCTCGATTTTATACGCCTGTCAGCAAGGGGTGTGGCTGAAATAGCCGAATCCACTAATTCTAAGGGGTGTCCACATACTTTTGTATATATAGAGTGTACTCCTCAGACGATCCCACAGGTGAAGAAGCCGGATGTGCAGGTCCTGGGCTGGCGTGGTTACACGTGGTCTGCGGTTGTGAGGCCTGTTGGATGTACTGACAAATTCTCTAAAACGATGTTGGAGGCGGCTTATGGTAGAGAAATGAACGTTCAATTCTCTGGCAACAGCTCTGTTGGATATTCCTGCAGTCAGCGTGCCAATTGCACGCTCCCTCAACTTGAGACATCTGTGGCATTGTGTTGTGTGATAAAACTGCACATTTTAGAGTGGCCTTTTATTGTCCCCAGCACAAAGTGCACCTGTGTAATGATTATGCTGTTCTTCTTAATTTGCCACACCTTCCAGGTGGATGGATTATCTTGGCAAAGGAGAAATGCTCACTAACAGAGATGTAAACAAATTTGTGCACGAAATTAGAGAGAAATAAGCTTTTTGTGCATTTGGAAAATTTTGCGTTTATATTTTTGTTCCGTATACATCCAATTTCTGTTGAATGTGGTCTAAAGATGCAGTCTCTTCATGGCTTTCTATTAGATGTATTTATCACATTTTCTATGCTAATGTTGTTTTTTCATTTACCAATTTTAAGAAAAGGAATGTTAATGATTCATGAATACAAGTCGTATGAGTCTTATGTGATGTTAGCAAGCTGTGCATCCTGGAATACTTGGTGGTCAAACTAATTTTGCCACAGGGGCCGCTTTTGGTCTTCAATGTGGTCCGGAGGGCACCCCCACGTGCCGGATGTTTGACACCCCTGACTTAGTGTGTATTTCCATGAAGTGTTGTTAGCCAAACTGTACATCCTTACTATATATGAATGTGTATTTCCATGAAGTATTGTTAGTTAAACTGTACATCCTTACTATATATTGTGTATTTCCATGAAGTATTGTTAGCTAAACTGTACATCCTTAAGTATTCAGACCCCTTGACTTTTTCCACATTTTGTTACGTTACAGCCTTATTCTAAAATTGATTAAATTAATGTTTTTCCTCATCAATCTACACGCAATTCTCCATAATGACAAAGCGAAAACAGGGTTTTTAGGCATTTTTTTAAATGTACACTACCGTTCAAAAGTTTGGTGTCACTTAGAAATGTCCTTGTTTTCCATGAAAATATACATGAAATGAGTTTGAATAGGAAATGTAGTCATTAACAAGGTTAGAAATAATGATTTTTAATTGAAATAATTGTGTCCTTCAAACTTTGCTTTCGTCAAATAATCCTCCATTTGCAGCAATTACAGCCTTGCAGACCTTTGGTATTCTAGTTGTCAATTTGTTGAGGTAATCTGAAGAGATTTCACCCCATGCTTCCTGAAGCACCTCCCACAAGTTGGATTGGCTTGATGGGCACTTCTTACGTGTACCATACGGTCAAGCTGCTCCCACAACAGCTCAATAGGGTTGAGATCTGGTGACTGTGCTGGCCACTCCATTATAGACAGAATTCCAGCTGACTGCTTCTTCCCTAAATAGTTATTGCATAGTTTGGAGCTGTGCTTTGGGTCATTGTCCTGTTGTAGGAGGAAATTGGCTCCAATCAAGCGCCGTCCACAGGGTATGGCATGGCGTTGCAAAATGGAGTGATAGTCTTCCTTCTTCAAGCTCCCTTTTACCCTGTACAAATCTCCCACTTTACCACCACCAAAGCACCCCCAGACCATCACATTGCCTCCACCATGCTTGACAGATGGCATCAAACACTCCTCCAGCATCTTTTCATTTGGTCTGCGTCTAACAAATGTTCTTCTTTGTGATCCGAACACCTCAAACTTCGATTCGTCTGTCCATAACACTTTTTTCAGATCTTCCTCTGTCCAATGTCTGTTCTTTTGCCCATCTTAATCTTTTCTTTTTATTGTCCAGTCTGAGTTATGGCTTTTTCTTTGCAACTCTGCCTAGAAGGTCAGCATCCTGGAGTCGCCTCTTCACTGTTGACATTGAGACTGGTGTTTTGCGGGTACTATTTAATGAAGCTGCCAGTTGAGGACCTGTGAGGCGTCTCTCATGTATTTGTCCTCTTGCACTGTTGTGCACCGGGGCCTCCCACTCCTCTTTCTGTTCTGGTTAGAGCCAGTTTGCGCTGTTCTGTGAAGGGAGTAGTACACAGCGTTGTACGAGATCTTTAGTTTCTTGGCAATTTCTCGCATAGCCTTCATTTTTCAGAACAAGAATAGACTGACGAGTTTCAGAAGAAAGTTATTTGTTTCTGGCCATTTTCAGCCTGTAATCGAACCCACAATTGCTGATGCTCCAGATACTCAACTAGTCTCCAGAAGGCCAGTTTTATTGCTTCTTTAATCAGCACAACAGTTTTCAGCTGTGCTAACAACGATCAATTAGCCTTTTAAAATGATAAACTTGGATTAGCAAACACAACGTGCCATTGGAACACAGGACTGATGGTTGCTGATAATGGGCCTCTGTACGCCTATGTAGATATTCCATTAAAAAATCCACTGTACATCCTTACTATATATATATTAATATGTATTTCCATGAAGTGTTGTTAGTCAAACTGTACATCCTTACTATATATATTAATGTGTATTTCCGTGAAGTGTTGTTAGTCAAACTGTACATCCTTACTATATATATTAATGTGTATTTCCGTGAAGTGTTGTTAGTCAAACTGTACATCCTCACTGTTTTTTCACTGTGTGTGTCTAGGTTCTACAAGCACCTGGACCGGGGTTACAACACGTGTGCTAGAACGGACTTCTACTTCACGCCTCTCGCTGCTTCTAAACTGGCCAAGAAGAGAGAGGAGGCGCTGGAGCGAGCCAAGAGGGAGGCGGAACAGAAAGCCCGGGAGGAGAAGGAGAAAGAGAGGGAACGGGAGAAGGAACGAGAGCGGGAACGGGAAAGAGAGAAGGAACAGGAGAGAGCGGCGGTGAGTGTTTGGTCTAGTTTGTGTAACTTAAAGTGACGTTTTCAGATTCATCATCTCCAGCACCACCCCAACATCAACATATGTGAAAATTGAGCTTTTCTATGTTTTGTAGTGAAAAGATAGAGGAAGATAAGTATTTCCAATGACATCAATCAATTAGTAGACAGTTAGTAGGCAACGCCTACTCATTGGTTAAGATCACATGATGCACACAGACGATGTCATTGGAAACACTTATCGTCCTCGATCTTTTTTACTACAAAACATATGTTGATGTTGGGGTGGTGCTGGAGATGATGAATTTGAAGTATAACTTTTTTAAATAAATGTTTTTAACTTTACATTGTTGTAAAACAGCCTTTCTCTGTCCCACTAGAGTATTTGTGTCTAAATGCTCACTTAACCTCCTTATAACCTCCTTACAACCTATTATAACCTCCTTATAACCTGTTAACCACCTTACAACCTATTATACCCCGTTATAACCACCTTACAACCTATTATAACCTCCTTATAACCTGTTATAACCACCTTACAACCTATTATAACCTCCTTACAACCTATTATAACCTCCTTATAACTTGTTACAACCACCTTACAACCTATTATAACCTCCTTATAACCTGTTACAACCACCTTACAACCTATTATAACCTCCTTATAACCAGTTACAACCACCTTACAACCTATTATAACCTCCTTATAACCTGTTATAACCACCTTACAACCTATTATAACCTGTTATAACCACCTTACAACCTATTATAACCTCCTTACAACATGTTATAACCTCCTTACAACATGTTATAACCACCTTACAACCTATTATAACCTCCTTATAACCTGTTATAACCACCTTACAACCTATTATAACCTCCTTATAACCTCCTTATAACCTGTTATAACCACCTTACAACCTATTATAACCTGTTATAACCACCTTATAACCTGTTATAACCACCTTACAACCTATTATAACCTCCTTATAACATGTTATAACCACCTTACAACCTATTATAACCTCCTTATAACCTGTTATAACCACCTTGTAACCTGTTATAACCACCTTACAACCTATTATAACCTCCTTATAACCTGTTATAACCACCTTACAACCTATTATAACCTTCTTATAACCTGTTATAACCACCTTACAACCTATTATAACCTTCTTATAACCTGTTATAACCACCTTACAACCTATTATAACCTTCTTATAACCTGTTACAACCACCTTACAACCTATACCTTTCTTACACTTGTTAAAACCCGAAAAAGATAACCTCCGTGGGTGCGTAACCCTCTGCGATCTCCCTGTTCCAAAAGCCCCATTCGTGTCATGACGGTCGTATGGTTCCCCCATGTGGCTCCGCCCATGGTCCTCCCTTCGCTGCCCTCCCACTTCCATCGCCGCGGTGCCCCCTCTACATCGTCCCCGACACGCCCCCCTTCGCACATCCTCAGCGAGTACGCCCCGCCCCCATGTTATGTCCCCGACCAATAGGAACCACCCCTTCTTCGTCTCCCTTAACCCCAACGACCCCCTGATGGCCTATCACATGCCTGGCCTCTACAACGCCGACCCGGGCATGCGGGAGCGCGAGCTGCGAGAGCGGGAGATGAGAGAGAGAGAGATGAGGGAGAGGGAGCTGAGAGAGAGGATGAAGCCTGGGTTCGAACACAAACCCCCGGAGTTAGAAGGCATGCACCCCTCGGCTAACCCCATGGAGCACTTCGCCCGGCATGGGGCCATCTCCTTACCCCCCATGGCGGGACCACACCCCTTCGCCTCCTTCCACCACGGCCTCAACCCCTTGGAGAGGGAGCGTTTGGCGCTGGCTGCGGGACCCCAGCTCAGACCGGACATGAGCTACCCGGAGCGGCTGGCGGCGGAGAGGCTGCATGCCGAGAGGATGGCGGCGGTGGCTAACGACCCTATCGCCAGGCTTCAGATGTTCAACATCACGCCTCATCATCACCAGCACTCCCACATCCACTCACACCTACACCTGCACCAGCAGGACTCCCTGCACCAAGGTGACACACTGATGTTATTGTTAACTCTGTTCCGATAAAGCAACGCTCTAAGTAACTCTAAATACCGTATGCAAATACTGCAATAGTCTGGAAAAATAACTTCATAACTTGTAGCTAGTCGATTACCATATTAGCATCCTTGGTGGCACTGACTGTGGTACCAATCTTCTGATCCCAGCAAACGGCTGTAGCATGCAGTGAATGCAAATAATAGTCTGTTCTTAATTGACTTACCTGGAACATGTACTGTACTGTTTATGATGCCATGGATTAGAATAATTGATCATTGTGATGTATGGTGATGAACTGTGTGTGTGTGTGTGAGCGACCTGACCATGTGGAGTTCTGACTGTGTGCAGGTGGTGGCGAATGTCTTGTATGTCCTCCCGGTTCGGGGGGGCACCCCCTCGTAGACCCTCTGGCAGGAGGCCCCCACCTCGCCCGCTTCCCCTACCCGCCTGGCGCGATCCCCAACCCCCTCCTGGGTCAGAACCCACACGAACACGAGATGCTGCGACACCCTGTCTTCGGTAAGAACTACACCTCAACCAACGACACAGATCTCCATCTAGATCATGTAAATATCAGACCTATTTCCACACTACGGAGCCAAACCAAGCTGGACTGAGCTGTCTTGGTCACACAAATCGTAGTTGCTGGAACAGGGCTGAAAAGGACCATGTCAAAAGAAAATATCAGAGCAGTTTGGTTTGAGTCAACCCTATAGTGTGACGAGGGATTTATCTACCACAGTGGGATCTCTGTTCGTAGACAAGCCCATGATGTTCTGATCCTGTTGCGTTCCTCTATTCATAGTCAAGCCCATGATGTTCTGATCCTGTTGTGTTCCTCTATTCATAGTCAAGCCCATGGTCTGATCCTGTTGTGTTCCTCTATTCATAGTCAAGCCCATGGTCTGATCCTGTTGCGTTCCTCTATTCATAGTCAAGCCCATGGTCTGATCCTGTTGCGTTCCTCTATTCATAGTCAAGCCCATGGTCTGATCCTGTTGCGTTCCTCTATTCATAGTCAAGCCCATGGTCTGATCCTGTTGCGTTCCTCTGCCTATGGTCTGATCCTGTTGCGTTCCTCTATTCATAGTCAAGCCCACGGTCTGATCCTGTTGCGTTCCTCTATTCATAGTCAAGCCCATGGTCTGATCCTGTTGCGTTCCTCTATTCATAGTCAAGCCCACGGTCTGATCCTGTTGCGTTCCTCTATTCATAGTCAAGCCCACGGTCTGATCCTGTTGCGTTCCTCTATTCATAGTCAAGCCCACGGTCTGATCCTGTTGCGTTCCTCTATTCATAGTCAAGCCCATGGTCTGATCCTGTTGCGTTCCTCTATTCATAGTCAAGCCCATGGTCTGATCCTGTTGCGTTCCTCTATTCATAGTCAAGCCCACGGTCTGATCCTGTTGCGTACCTCTATTCATAGTCAAGCCCATGGTCTGATCCTGTTGCGTTCCTCTATTCATAGTCAAGCCCACGGTCTGACCCTTTTGCGTTCCTCTATTCATAGTCCAAGCCCACGGTCTGATCCTGTTGCGTTCCTCTATTCATAGTCAAGCCCATGGTCTGATCCTGTTGCGTTCCTCTATTCATAGTCAAGCCCATGGTCTGATCCTGTTGCGTTCCTCTATTCATAGTCAAGCCCATGGTCTGATCCTGTTGCGTTCCTCTATTCATAGTCAAGCCCATGGTCTGATCCTGTTGCGTTCCTCTATTCATAGTCAAAGCCCACGGTCTGATCCTGTTGCGTTCCTCTATTCATAGTCAAGCCCACGGTCTGATCCTGTTGCGTTCCTCTATTCATAGTCAAGCCCATGGTCTGATCCTGTTGCGTCCTCTATTCATAGTCAAGCCCACGGTCTGATCCTGTTGCGTTCCTCTATTCATAGTCAAGCCCACGGTCTGATCCTGTTGCGTTCCTCTATTCATAGTCAAGCCCATGGTCCTGATCCTGTTGCGTTCCTCTATTCATAGTCAAGCCCATGGTCTGATCCTGTTGCGTTCCTCTATTCATAGTCAAGCCCACGGTCTGATCCTGTTGCGTACCTCTATTCATAGTCAAGCCCATGGTCTGATCCTGTTGCGTTCCTCTATTCATAGTCAAGCCCACGGTCTGACCCTTTTGCGTTCCTCTATTCATAGTCAAGCCCACGGTCTGATCCTGTTGCGTTCCTCTATTCATAGTCAAGCCCATGGTCTGATCCTGTTGCGTTCCTCTATTCATAGTCAAGCCCATGGTCTGATCCTGTTGCGTTCCTCTATTCATAGTCAAGCCCATGGTCTGATCCTGTTGCGTTCCTCTATTCATAGTCAAGCCCATGGTCTGATCCTGTTGCGTTCCTCTATTCATAGTCAAGCCCATGGTCTGATCCTGTTGCGTTCCTCTATTCATAGTCAAGCCCAACGGTCTGATCCTGTTGCGTTCCTCTATTCATAGTCAAGCCCATGGTCTGATCCTGTTGCGTCCTCTATTCATAGTCAAGCCCACGGTCTGATCCTGTTGCGTCCTCTATTCATAGTCAAGCCCACGGTCTGATCCTGTTGCGTTCCTCTATTCATAGTCAAGCCCATGGTCTGATCCTGTTGCGTTCCTCTATTCATAGTCAAGCCCATGATGTTCTGATCCTGTTGCGTTCCTCTATTCATAGTCAAGCCCATGTTCTGATCCTGTTGCGTGCCTCTATTCATAGTCAAGCCCATGGTCTGATCCTGTTGCGTTCCTCTTCATAGTCAAGCCCATGGTCTGATCCTGTTGCGTTCCTCTATTCATAGTCAAGCCCATGGTCTGATCCTGTTGCGTTCCTCTATTCATAGTCAAGCCCACGGTCTGATCCTGTTGCGTTCCTCTATTCATAGTCAAGCCCACGGTCTGATCCTGTTGCGTTCCTCTATTCATAGTCAAGCCCATGGTCTGATCCTGTTGCGTTCCTCTATTCATAGTCAAGCCCATGTTCTGATCCTGTTGCGTTCCTCTATTCATAGTCAAGCCCATGGTCTGATCCTGTTGCGTACCTCTATTCATAGTCAAGCCCATGGTCTGATCCTGTTGCGTTCCTCTCTCCAGGTACTCCGTACCCCCGGGACCTCCCTCCCCAGATGTCTGCAGCCCACCAGCTCCAGGCCATGCATGCTCAGTCTGCAGAGCTGCAGCGGATAGCTATGGAGCAGCAGTGGCTACATGGACACCACCACATGCACGGGGGCCCGCTTCCTGGACAGGAGGACTATTACAGGTCAGAGACACACGTACTAAAATACACACGCACTGAAATACAGACACACTTGAAAACACACACTGGAGTACACACACACACAACACACTTGAAAACACACACACTTAACCATACACTCACACATTTCAACACATTAATTACAAACACACTGACAGACGTGGAAAAGACCGGCCTAGACGTTATCAGTCCCTAGACGGGCTTTAAAATAAGAATAATTACATTAAATTACAAAACAAATATTAAGCATAACATAAAATGGTTCATCTGTGGTTATAAATTCTTGTTGCTAATTTAAAAGATTTTCATTTGTGTGATTTCTGTAAGATCATGCAGACGTTTCAAGTGATCTCGAGTTCCAGAAATGGACTCCTTTTACAGAAAAACCTGATGGCAAGTGATGTTTTACCTTAAGAACTAACTCTGCACTTTGCATTTTCAGAGAATGTGACCTGTAGGATGTTTATATAGACTGAATGTAGTCACTTTTATATAGGGTTGTGGAGCAAGTCTGTATTAACATTTAAGTTTGCATTGGGCAAATATAGACATTAAAAAAATAATTGACGTGTTTCTTAGCAATTATATACTGTATTGATGACATTTTAAGATGCACGCTTGTACAACGATTGCAGCGGCTTTGTTCCAGATTTTCCAGCTTGTGAACAACTTGTAATACAACACCACCTGTGAAAATATCATAGTGTGCATATAAACCTTGGCAGGGTTTTTTTGGTTTTATTTCTAAACTTGGACAAGTGAAGTTAAATAAGAGTGGCGATGCCTAACGTGTTTTCGTGTTTTGTGTTTTAGCCGCCTGAAGAAGGAAAGCGACAAGCAACTGTAACCGATCAATGGGGATTCAGAGATGCGTTGGAAGTTGCCTAGGACACAGGAAGTACACATGCAAGAACAGGAAGTAGTTACAGAACAGTGAGTCAGTCAAAGGAACCCGACCTCCGCTCCTCCAAACAATTCTCGTTACCAAGGACAACAGAAACCCAAGGAGGAGAGGAGGATTGTTCTGTTGTCTGTTTTCTTTCCCTGTCCGTGTGGGGATGTTTTTCTTTTTCCAAGAACATTGAGAAAGACTTTGTTTGGTGTAACTATAGCCTTCAAGTAGTGACAACGACCTCGAGACTGATTTGTGACTTTCCTGCATGAAAACTTCTCTAAAGCGTCCACAACGTGTTTTGTAGATGGTAGAAATGCAAGACACTTTTGTCACTCTGCTAGTTCACGGAAAATAAAAAGATTAGAAAGGAGCGTTCCAGACATTAAATCCACGGAAAGATTAAAAAACAAAAGTGCTATCTTATTTTAATACATTGTTGGAGGTTTTCATAATTTTAACGAAAAGCTACAGCGTGGCGTTTTTTTTGAGTCTGTAAATAGTATATATACACACACACATATACATATACGTATAATTATTATTATAATTATTATTATTGTTACTAGGTGTGGACTCTGAACCAAGTCATTTATAAACCTCCAATATATGTTACTGTGTTCTGAAGCATTATGCCATGTTTCAACAGGAGGGGTGGGGGGGCATCATGGCATTACTAGAGAAGACGATGGTTACAGTCCTGATGTGAGCTGTGTAGACACACACACACACACACACACACACACACACGGTCCCATCCACCTTCTTTCATTATACACCCCTTGACAAGCACCTTATTGTCAAACAGAATGCCTAAACTCACTGTTGTTGAGTTAATGATATGAGACACTTGAAGAGTGGATCAGCATACTGTCCTGTCCTGTCCTGTCCAAGCCCCTGATACAGACACCATCTATTGCACTCAAAGGAAGACCGGATAGAGTCCTTCAGCGTTTTTCATTGGTTTTAATACTCATCTTCGGTATTGAGTCAACAAAATTTAAGATTTTTTTTTTTTTAAAGATTAGGTCGATTTTTAACCGGTTTCACGTTTTCTTTTAAAATGTTTTAAATTATCTTTGACAAAAAGTGTATCTTCGTGTTTCTAAACTACCCCGAGGACCCAACAGGCCTTTTTTAAATGTGTTCTGACTGTGGGTGAGTGGAGTGGCTGGGACAGTTGGAGACCTCCTGTTGGGTCGTCCTCCAGAGCATTGTGCTGTGCTGCCATATTCACTGTGACACTAACTACATGGGAGGAGGTGGGGCCTAGCTACATGGGAGGAGGTTGGGCCTAGCTACATGGGAGGAGGTGGGGCCTAGCTACATGGGAGGAGGTGGGGCCTAGCTACATGGGTGGAGGTGGGGCCTAGCTACATGGGAGGAGGTGGGGCCTAGCTACATGGGAGGAGGTGGGGCCTAGCTACATGGGAGGAGGTGGGGCCTAGCTACATGGGAGGAGGTGGGGCCTAGCTACATGGGAGGAGGTGGGGCCTAGCTACATGGGAGGAGGTGGGGCCTAGCTACATGGGAGGAGGTGGGGCCTAGCTACATGTGAGGAGGTGGGCGGGTCCAGTGCTGGGACCAGACACTTAACTAAAGGGGCCTAGCTACATGGGAGGTGGGTCCAGTGCTGGGACCAGACACTAGACAGTAGAGATGTAATGGTGGTGGTCCTACTCCCTCCAGGCTCTCGCTGATCTCCCCTGCTGGCTGGTCAGCCTTCCCCTCTGCCTGCACAGCTTCTCCTGGCCTCCCCTTCAAGGGCATCAGGGGCACCAGGCCAAGTGGTGGGGTGTGTACTGTATGCCATGACATTGACTGTTAAAAGCAGTGTTCTGTTCAGTTCACCTGACTGTCATACCTGTCTAATGGATGTTAACCCTCACCTTTCCTGTCAACCCTCACCTGTCCAGTTAACCCTCACCTGTCTTGTTAACCCTCACCTTTCCTGTCAACCCTCACCTGTCCAGTTAACCCTCACCTGTCTTGTTAACCCTCACCTGTCCTGTCAACCCTCACCTGGCCAGTTAACCCTCACCTGTCCAGTTAACCCTCACCTGTCCAGTTAACCCTCACCTGTCCAGTTAACCCTCACCTGTCTTGTTAACCCTCACCTGTCTTGTTAACCCTCACCTGTCCTGTTAACCCTCACCTGTCCAGTTAACCCTCACCTGTCTTGTTAACCCTCACCTGTCTTGTTAACCCTCACCTGTCTTGTTAACCCTCACCTGTCCTGTTAACCCTCACCTGTCCAGTTAACCCTTACCCTCCAGTCAACCCTCACCTTCTACTCCTTTCTGGTCCATACATGACCACGAACATGTGCTCTGTCTGTCTGTCTGTCTGTCTCTCTGTCTTCTCCTGTACTCCTCACCTCTTCATCTTCCTCTGTCTCCTCTTCCTCACAACCTCCCTCCTCCTCCAGCATTTTAGTCCACCCCTCTCTGTCTCTCCCTCCTCCTCCAAACCCTTGGATGTTTAGTGTTGTCAATGGTTTAGCTTCTCCTTTCAAAGCGGCAATAGCAGAATGTCAATACATTCTGACCGGCTAAGATTTATATATAGAACTGGTATCTTGAAGCTTATTGTATATATTAGAAGTCACCATGGGGATGACGACACGACAATGTAAACAAAAAGTAGAAATAATAAGAAAAATTGTGATTCCTGTGTTCTTTCTCCATTTGAGTATTTTGTATTTTTTTTTGAAAAATGTGTGGAATTAAAATAAACAACTAAGTTACACCACAATACTTTTGTTATTGGTTTTAATTTAGGCTATACACTATTTACATTATTCAAAACATTTACTGTTGGTAGTGCATGCTGGAAAATGTTTTACTTTGTCATTAGTGGATACAGAAGCTATTATACCTCTCCAGACTGAACGTTACTCCAGAGATAATGTAGCCTGGTGAATCCAGACTGAACGTTACTCCAGAGATAATGTAGCCTGGTGAATCCAGACTGAACGTTACTCCAGAGATAATGTAGCCTGGTGAATCCAGACTGAACGTTACTCCAGAGATAATGTAGCCTGGTGAATCCAGACTGAACGTTACTCCAGAGATAATGTAGCCTGGTGAATCCAGACTGAACGTTACTCCAGAGATAATGTAGCCTGGTGAATCCAGACTGAACGTTACTCCAGAGATAATGTGGCCTGGTGAATCCAGACTGAACGTTACTCCAGAGATAATGTAGCCTGGTGAATCCAGACTGAACGTTACTCCAGAGATAATGTAGCCTGGTGAATCCAGACTGAACGTTACTCCAGAGATAATGTAGCCTGGTGAATCCAGACTGAACGTTACTCCAGAGATAATGTCCCTGGTGAATCCAACCTGGAACTTACTCCAGAGATAATGTAGCCTGGTGAATCCAGACTGAACGTTACTCCAGGGATAATGTAGCCTGGTGAATCCAGGACTGAACGTTACTCCAGAGATAATGTAGCCTGGTGAATCCAGACTGAACGTTACTCCAGAGATAATGTAGCCTGGTGAATCCAGACTGAACGTTACTCCAGAGATAATGTAGCCTGGTGAATCCAGACTGAACGTTACTCCAGAGATAATGTAGCCTGGTGAATCCAGACTGAACGTTACTCCAGAGATAATGTAGCCTGGTGAATCCAGACTGAACGTTACTCCAGAGGATAATGTAGCCTGGTGAATCCAGACTGAACGTTACTCCAGAGATAATGTAGCCTGGTGAATCCAGGCTGGAACGTTACTCCAGAGATAAGTTAGCCTGGTGAATCCAGACTGAACGTTACTCCAGAGATAATGTAGCCTGGTGAATCCAGGCTGAACTTTACCTCCAGAATAATGTAGCCTGGTGAATCCAGACTGAACGTTACTCCAGAGATAATGTAGCCTGGTGAATCCAGACTGAACGTTACTCCAGAGATAATGTAGCCTGGTGAATCCAGACTGAACGTTACTCCAGAGATAATGTAGCCTGGTGAATCCAGACTGAACGTTACTCCAGAGATAATGTAGCCTGGTGAATCCAGACTGAACGTTACTCCAGAGATAATGTAGCCTGGTGAATCCAGACTGAACGTTACTCCAGATATGTAGCCTGGTGAATCCAGACTGACGTTACTTACTCCAGGGATAATGTAGCCTGGTGAATCCAGACTGAACGTTACTCCAGAGATAATGTAGCCTGGTGAATCCAGACTGAACATTACTCCAGAGATAATGTAGACCAGGCTACATTATCTCTGGAGTAATGTTCAGTCTGGATTCACCAGGCTATAAATGACGCCCTGTCCTCCATGAAACCTGGCTCCTCAGAATCCCCCTCTACTCCCCAGGCTGTCAGTCATGTGATCATGTGACAGCTGCTGGTGGCTGTTTTGTCAGGAGGCGATGCCTGTTGTCGTCTAGCTCAGAGGCTCATCTCCCCACAAGACACAACAAGGAAACGACAGAGAGAGCTTAGAGTGGCAGCTCCACTGGCTGGTTGAATAAATTATGTATCTCCCCTCCTCAACGATGGAACGACTGACTCGATGTCAACCCAAATCACATCCTCATAATCTGGTGGTGTACCCCTCAGGCATGATCTCTAAAAGAGATCTGGAGTATACAGAGCCGCCTCCTGTCTTTTCTCTTCTTCCTCATTCCCCTCTCTCCCTCTCTCCCTCTCTCCCTCTCTCCTCTCTCCCTCTCTCCCTCTCTCCTCTCTCCCTCTCTCCCTCCTCCCTCCTCCCTCCTCCCTCCTCCCTCTCTCCCTCTCCCTCCTCCCTCTCTCCCTCCCCCCTCCTCCCTCTCTCCTCCCTCTCTCCCCTCTCTCCCTCCTCCCTCCTTCCTCTCTCCCTCCTCCCTCTCTCCCTCCTTCCTCTCTCCCTCCTCCCTCTCTCCCTCTCTCCCCTCTCCCTCTCCTCTCCCTCCTCCCTCCTCCTCCCTCTCCCTCCTCCCTCTCTCCTCCCTCTCTCCCCTCTCTCCCTCTCCCTCCTCCTCCTTCCTCTCTCCCCTCCTCCCTCTCTCCCTCCTTCCTCTCTCCCTCCTCCCTCTCATCCTCTCTCCCTTCTTCCCTCCTCCCTCCTCCCTCCCTCCTCCCTCTCCTCTCTCCCTCCTCCCTCTCTCCCTCTCTCCCTCTCTCTCCTCTCTCCCTCTCTCCCTCCTTCCTCTCTCCCTCCCTCCTTCCTCTCTCCCTCCTTCCTCTCTCCTCTCTCCCTCCCTCCTCCCTCTCTCCCTCTCATCCTCCTCCCATCTCTCTCCTCTCCTCTCTCCCTCTCTCCCTCCTTCCTCTCTCCCTCCCTCCTTCCTCTCTCCCCTCCTTCCTCTCTCCTCTCTCCCTCCTCCCTCTCTCCCTCTCTCCCTCTCTCTCCTCTCCTCCCTCTCTCCCCTCTCCTCCCTCTCCTTCCTCACGCCCCAGCAGTCTGCTGAGTGTCACACTGTGTGACAGCGTGGAGGCTAGGAGCTACATGCTATTAGCTCGTTCATTTGGAAAGTTAGCTCTAGTTCCTTCCTACGGTGGGTAGCTTTGTGACAGGCTGCCATGTAGCCCTATAGCCTAGCTTGGGCTTGGCATCTATTCTTAAAAAGCGCTCTGTTGACAGGATACTGGTGGAGAAGGAATATGTGCCGCCTCTGAATTTGAGATTACAGAGCACTCCTACTCTGAGATGCTTATTAATACTGGCCTGATGCAATTTCCGTTTGTCACTAAACATGGGCCGCCGTTTCTGAACACCACACTCCACCGAACAAACCCAAGTATTTC